ACACCGGCGGGACACCGCGCGGCACCGGCCCCCAGAGAAGAATCATTTGGTCCGGCCGCGCCTCAGCTGGAGGAGACTTTCTTCTCGCCCGCCCACGCAGCTTCGCCTCGCCCGCGCGCACGGCACGCACGAACACGAAATCGAAACCGATTTACCGGTAGGGGGACTTTCCGTCCCACTTCGATCTCACCCCCTCACTTCCGACAGAGCACACAGCACTCTAGAATATTCGGGTACGTTCCACTTCGTGCCACGAGGCACGGTCGCGGACATCCGTCTGTTTGAGATCCCCATCAATGTATCAACCGCCGTGTTGCGGGGCTACCTTTAAGACCACAGGCCCAAGGAATATTTGCATCGGCCCTGCCACCAGCAGCACTCACTGTGAATTTTGATATGGCGGGGGGAGAGGCGGAGGAGCTGATGTCGAGTTGAAGAGGACGTTTTGTGTGCCATTAGTGCGACCCCGCCAGGACAAGGGCGATGCCATCCATCACTCTCGGTCTTGAGGCCACTTGCTGGCTGGAGCACGCATTCTCATTGAACCGCGTCGAGAAGCAGGGTTGATACGTGTTGGGTATCCAGTTGGAGTAGAATCCACATTGAGGCTCGTTCGGTGTGGACTCGCCAATGATGAGTCTCTACTTTTCAGGGCAGACCCCTAGACGGGCAGCCCGTTGCTTGTACCCCATCAGCGTTCGACGGAGCAGCGCGCCAGATCCCAGCAGGACTCGTGGAGGGGTCACAGGGTGCATGTTAGGATGGACGTGTGCTGATTGGTGGAGGGTGTAATTCAGACCTGACCTTCGGAGAGGGAACTTACAACGGGCTTCTTTACATAGACCCATTCCTTGCTAGCTGCCAGGGCATCGCTACATTGGGTTTCCTATCTTCGAGTGCGCCCGCCGCGGTGTTACACTGCGTCACAGAACTTCGATCAGAGCGTAGAGCATTGTGACATTGGCCTGGCGCTGTGGTCTGCCTCCACAGGCGCCAGCACTGCCACGATAGGGGTCGGTTATCGGGCTTTAGAGCTGGTGTGGTGGTGGAGGAGCCGCTGGGGCCTTCCTTGCCATCCCCTCCGCATCAAAGACCCGATACCCGTGAGGGCATTCTTACCTTTCTGCATTGTCTTCGCACCCCTTTTCCACGAATAGTTTGCCAATGTGATCGGATATTGGGCTCGTTGTTCGCACGCGCACGTCGATCTAAGCTCTTTGATTCGCCGTTCGACGTGCGCAACGCAAGCAAAGGGAGGACGGCACTGCTGAGGTAGAACGAAGCACCCAAGGCAAAGTGAACATTTCGAAACGGCAGGGCCTTTTTTGTTTATAAGTTTTCCTCTGGTTCTGGTTCCGTTAATTTCTTGTCCTGTCGCCGTTTTTTCTGGTTCCGGTTCTGGTTTCAGACCCAGGGCCGTTTCGTTTCCGTTTCGGCAAACCGTTTTTGTCACCGTTTTCATGTGCAAGACCAAGGTTTTTTGAACGCTAAGAAAAGCCCTGCCGTCTCCAAGGAAACTACTGCGACCTGAGGAAGGTGCATGGGCCGTTGGTTGGACGGGGCTAGGACGAGGATGAATCCGTTCCAGAGCGTTCCGGAACGCTCTCAGGGCGTTCGGAACGCTTTGAGAAGGCCGCGGCGCCCGAGACAACCTCCAGAGCCGCTTGATCTCAGAGATTCTCAATTTATATTCGGATGCAAATCCTGGGAGGTCAAATTCTGATTTTGCCCTAGGCCCGATTGCTGGCGTCGTCCGGCTTCACCCGCGCATTCCCGCTTAATCCCGCTTCATCTGGCCTAATCCCACTCAGTCCGCAGCCTAAGCCGGCGTAGCAGCCCCCCACGACGACGGCCTCCCAGTAGGTGCCTCCTGGATATATGCTCACCCGAAGTTCAAGCAGTGGCGAAGCGCCCCGGTTCGCCTATAGGCCCACCAAACAATGTTCTAAGAACCTTTTGCGGTTTGCACGAAGTGCTCTTAGAACACTTCTGGCTGACACTGCGCTGTTTTGACACAGTGTTTCTGTTCTAAGAACCTTGTTTTTGTTATTCGAACATTTTTGGGTTCTAAGGACATTTCGTGGTAGGCCCATAGGAATGCCGGGACGGTCGGTCCTCTGCTCAACGCTCGCACACCTGGCTGGTCGGGGCTGGGGTGCCCCAGCTTGCTGCCCATCGGGAGCCTTGAGACGGGGGTCAATGCAAACGGGGGTCAGCCAGCACGCCCGATCTTGCAGGATCCTGCAGGGCCAGGGTCGCACTGACCCGGGCTCGGGCGCAGGATCCTGCAGGATCTCTCATTGACCCGGGTTTGGGTGCAGGATCTTGCAGGATTTTGCGATGCCGGGACGGTCGGTCCCTGCTCAAGAAGTCGTCCCCGCCGTGGTCCCGTCTCCACGGCAGGGCCGAGGGGCGGGGAGCGGGCACGCCGAGGGGGGAGGTGCAGCACATGCTTGGGGGGAGCGGCGCAAGAGACTTGGCATCGCTCGGGCGTGTGCATTTTTTCAGGGGAACGTAAGACTCGAGCCAGCCGGAATTCGGGTTTGCCGATTTGCTTTTGTCGAGCGCGTCTAGGATTCCCTGGAGGTAGGAAAGGGATCTGGTATAAAGGGGTGTGTTTTTAATCCTATGTAAAGGGGACTCTGGCGATGTGATTGATCGCAAATAGGCAAATAGCATCGCCGTTTCCACGATTGGCACCATACCCCTTTCTGCCACACCCCTTTCCGACCTCCAGATTTTTCCTCGGCGAGGACCATCGAGGAGCATCCCAAAACCCTCTGCAAAATTGAACTCCGCATCCCGCAACCCTCGGCAAAGTTTAACTCAAACGTCACGCTCGACCATCGAGGAGCATCCCACAACCCTCGACCATCGAAGAAGAAAACACCACACCACATAAACTTTTGGCGCTCCGCCCGGATTTCTTGGATCCGCGCCTGAGTTCCCCGGCGGCGCCTCGGCGCCGCCCCTGGCGCGGTCCGCGCGCCAAAGAGGGGGGTCCAGCGCGAATCGTCAACAAAAGCTTATGTTTACGTGTTGGTTCATCGAGGCGCATCCCACAACCCTCGACAACGTCAAACTCAAACATGTGTCACATATCTTACGGTAGAGGTCCGCGTCGCATCGACGCGGAGGCGACCCCGGCGTGGGCGTTCAGGGCTGGACGACGCCAGTGATCCGGAGTCGTGCGACGGGCACGATTTGGATTCTCGAGCAGTTGTGACCATCCAAAGTTGAAGGATCCACGCGGTGCCAGAGGCCAGCGCGCAAGTCGTCAGACAGAGAACGTACGGTACTTGCGCATGTGAATGCCTGGGATTGGATGTCAATGAGTGTGAAGTATTTGGTGGCGCCCCTCCCTCCAAACTCGGTCAGCATGGAACTGCCGAGTCGCACCCCCCCCCAGAGCATGCGTCGGCGTCCTTTGACATCGGAGGGGCCGACATTGAAGGGGGGCTCCAGGCGTTTTGAATTTAATTTTGTCGAGGGTTGTAGATCACCTGGGAAAACAAAGAACACGTACGACATCGAAACATGCACGGGAAATAGAAGCCCGAGCGATGGCGAGGAGACCTCCACCTGATGACTCGACGGCGGGGAGCCCATGCTGCGGGCAAGATTTCTATCCGTATTCAAAACGGGGATTTATCCAGAACCGCAGACGGTGGACATAGATGTGGATCTCTCTCTCTCTCTCTCTCTGTCTCCCTCTATCTATAGATGTACACATATATATGTATATATATATATATAGATTCGGGCCCCCAGGGGGCCAGAGCATATATCCATGTCCACCGCCCGCTGGCGCACCAGGACGTCGGTTCCCAGGCGGTGGATCCGGATAAATCCCCTCCTCGCGCATGTCCGCTGCGGCTGGGATTTTCTGGAAAGGGGCGTTAAGAGGCCGAGTCGCAGCGGATGTGGACAACTTGCACCCATACCCATAGCCAGTCTTCCTCTCTCCGACCCCCTTATGGGTATGGGCGTGTGTTGTTTACTCGTCAATTGTTCTAGGCCTCCCAAGCGGGGCCGAACAGACGGGGTCGGGAGATCGCTCCGCATCGACGATGCATCGACGGTGCGGCTCGATGTGGAGCCACAGTTTCTCCACGCTGATGGCGCCGACGTATCGCTGACGTCGCCGATGCATCGGCGATGCAGTGGCTGCATCGGCGATGCGGGCGCGATCCTCCGACCCCCATCCACTCAGACCCCATGTGATCGGCATCCACTCACCCCATCTACCAGCCTGAGCTATATCCTTACCCCTGTGATTGGCATCGCTTCATTTGGATACCGATCGTAGGGATTCCCTCAGTTTCTGAGGGCGCGCCCCTGCGATTGGCATCGCCTTTTGGCTTGGTAATATCGGGGGTAGTAATAACCTTGATAAGTCTTTAGAACCCCTCCAAAAGGAGTAACTAATTTCTTTGGTCGGCGGCCTTATTGAAGGACTGGAGTCCCTCCAATAGGGGGTAACTAATCTGTTTTTCTCGCGGCACCCGCCGCGCAGCAACAACAACAACAGCAGCAGCAACAACAACAACGACGACAGCTACGACTTCGATTGCGGAGGAGGAGGAGAAGGACAGGAGGAGGGGGAGCGTGGGGAGGTAGAGGAAAAGGTGCTTAGAACCACTCCTGTTCACCGCCGAGTGATGAAAGGGGGAAGGCAAAACTGAAGACTTACAGAGATCAGGCTCGAGCCTGGAGAATTCAGGATGCCTCGAGCTATAGCGTCGGGGATATCACAAGGTAGGAAAAAAACACCTGGGCCAGACCATTGGCGTTTACTAAACGGCCCACGGCGTTTACTAAACAGTCTTGCCCTTTTTGATTCCTTCCTTGGGGGCGTTTACCAAACGGCTTCGCGCGTCGGGGTGGCTCTTATCGGGGTGGATTTTCAGCCCTCTAATCTCGGAACGCCGCCGCGTGGCGGCGCAGCGCCCCCCCCGCCGCGGGCGCCTTCCGCCGCCGCGCTTGTCGCACGCCGCCCGAGCGAGGGCGCGGCGGAGGCATCGCTTCCCCCCGCGCGCGCGCGCGCGCGCTCGGCACCGCCTCGGCCGCGCGCGGTGGGCTCCGAGGCGATGCTGGGCGTGCAGTCGAAGGAGCCACGCCGCGCAGGGCGTAGCATGGTTGATATTTTCGGCGGCGAGCGGAGGGGGTGGAGTGAGGAGGAGAAGGCCTTCTCAGAAGGCGGCGGGACTTCTCAGGAGCCCTCGTGCTGTCTGAGACGTGTTCTGCATGTTCGGGGAAGGCTTAGGACACCTCTCAGAAGGCGGGGGGGCTTCGAGCCTTCTGACATGACCCGCCCCTTCTCACTTCCCCCCGGGCGCGCCGCCGAGATGCATCTCTCATTTCCCCTTGTCTATCTGGCCTCTTCTCTTGCATGTTTCCTCGATCGAAGCCACTGCAGCATTTTCGCGCGAAGCCAGTGCTCTCAGGAAAGGGGTGGACCAGCGCATTGTTTGACAGGAAGATCGATTTCGACTTCGGCTGCCTCGGCAACACGCAGAGTGGGGTGAGGGTAGGGGGAAGGGCTTCTTAGAAGCGACCCTTCCTCCCTCGGCCCTACCCCCTTGCGCGCGACGCCAACATCGCGTTGGGTTCGGAAGGTCTCAAGGACGGCCAATGCCTTCATGATACGGGTTGATTGTAACATCATTCAAAAAGCACAAAGAAATGACTGGTTTTGGTATCCAGGGGCCCTCTCTGGGGCCCTGGGGGCTTATTGAAACTTTCTTGGGGCGTCGGGGGGCCTCTTGGGCCGCCTGGGCCATCTTGGGCGTCTTTGGGTGCTGTCGAGCCGTCTTCGAGGCCTCTTGCGCCGTCTTGGGCGCTTCTTGGGGCACTCGTGGCCTGTCTTGGGGCGTGGGGATTCAATGGAAAGCGCGGGAACGCCCAGAAGATTTCAGATTTTGGATTCCTTGCCCCTATTTTTCTTACAAAAAAAAAAAAACATCATTGAACACCGTACATGAAGCTCTTTCGTGCCTCGAGGCACGGTGGCGGATTTCCCAGCATGCCTGCCCCTTCCTCACCCGCTTCCGCCTCCTTCTCGCCCTCGTCCTCTGTCATCCTCGTTCTGGGTTTGTCTTGCGATGTCAGAAGCACCGCGGCTTCTTTTGCAGTGCCAGCTGACGTTTGAAGTGTGTGTGTGTGTGTGTGTGTGCGGCTTGGCCCAGGAGGGATCAAAAGCAAACGAACGCAAATAATCGTCGAGTCCCAGAAAAGGACAGAACATATGGGAAGTGGGGGGCAGACGAACATCCAGAAGATGTGGAAACTATTGTTCATCCTGCCATTTGTGTCTATCTATTTGCCTCCCAGGGCCCCTTCATTGTTGAAGGGTGCGCCTCGCTGCCGAGAAGAAGGAAAACGGCCGCCAGCGAAACGCGACGATCATCGCGGGCTCCATGTGCTCGGTCTGGGAGATTGAGCACTCCGACGTCCGAGGCGCCCATTTTCCCCCCTCCTCTTTCGAAGGGTCAAGAGGTCGTGTGAATCTCCTCCTCTCCTCGCCCTGCTCCTCTCGTCTTCCTCCTCCTCCTCCTCCTCCTCCTCCTCCTCCTCCTTCTCACCGACGCCCCGGCACCCGCCCACCTTTGGGGCGAGTGGCCACCGGGGCCTGGCGGCGTGTGAGGTCTCTGCGACAACTAGAGCACTAGATTACTTCCCCGGGAGCCCAACGCCTCTAGGACGCGGGGGGGCTCCCATGGGTAACACAACACACACGAATTCAAACCAAACTGCTGCAGCAGGGGCGGCCCGGCGAGGAAAAGGGAGGGGAAGGGGAAGGGGCCGGGGGGCGGGGGCCGTTGCGGTGGGCGGGCGGGCAGTCGGGGTGGCCGCGGAAGCCGTGGTCGTGGTGGTCGAGCTGGTAGTGGTCGAGCTGCTGGTGGTCGTGGTGGTCGTGGTGGCCGTGGTGGTCGTGGTGGTCGTGGTGTTAGTGCTGGCGGCCGGCCTGGTGGTGGCCGTGGTGCTCGCGGTGATCGTGGTGGTCGTTGGTGGTCGTGTTGGTCGTGGTGGTCCTGGCCGTGGCGGTCCTGGCGGTCCAGCTGGTGGTGGTCGTGGTGGTCGTGGTGGCCGTGGTGGCCGTGGTGGTCGTAGTGCCAGTGGGTCATTTAGCACGCACTAGCAATCAGCTCGGCGTTGCCCACAACCAACGTGCGCTGGATGCGGCGCCACGCGGTGGCGATGACAGCTGACCGCTCGGCTTCGGGCAAATATTTTCCGTACGAGCGGACAAATGAGACGAGCTCATCCGCTGGCCGCCCTCCCGTCTCCAGGACAGCTGGGGCCAGCTCGCCGCCCGAGGGGGGATATCGGTTCCGTTTGACGCCCACCGCCTGCGACGCGGCCAGCCCGTCATTGTTGGATCTTGCCCACCTGCGCTCGAGGTTGTCAGAGTGTGCGCAGGTGACAGACCAATCAACATACATGGGCTGTCCGGTGGTCGCGTCGCGGGTAGCCACGTCGAGGTGGGTTTCTTCCAGCTCCCCGGTGACTGGGCCCACGCGGTCCCACGCAGGGACACGCTTCTCGGTGACCGCCATGTGGCCCGCCTGCGCCTGGTGCAAGGGCGCATTCCAGTCCTCCCCCTCCCCCCTCCGTAGCCAGTCATGCTCAAGTCCGTAGCGGGAGGCTCTGAGGATTTGAGTGTGGCAAGGGGGAGGTGCGCCCCCACCAGTGATCCCTGGGCCAGCGTCCAGGTTTTCTTTCATACACTCGTGGCCTCGTTGGCCGTCCGTCACTGCACGTTGGGCCCACTGGCCCGTTTCTCCCTTTGCGACGGTGAGCTCCTGGTGGAGCCCATGGGCAAGGATGCCAACAAGGGCTACCTCTCGTGTTCGTCCTGCCGCTATCGCTGGATCTGGAAGACGCGGTCGGAGTGTTTCTTGCGTGAGGCAGCCCTTGTGCCCACCACGCCGCCATGGCACCAGCAGCGGGCGCGAGGTGTCTGGGCGCCGCCAGGCAATGGTGGAGGACAGCCTGCCCAACCACCAGGCTCTTGGGCGCCGCCCCGCCTGGGCGCCCCCGAGGCGTCGACGCCGCCGCAGTAAGGGGCGAGCAAGCAGTCGGTTTCCGCGCCGCCGTCGCAGCTGCAGGAACAAGTCGGCGAGGCGGCAGGTGCACAGGAGTTGCAGGCTCTGGCGCAGGCGGTGGCAAAGCCTGCGCAGCCTGCGCGCCCGCCGCTGCTGGAGGAGACCATCGGCGCGAAAGGGGCGGCGCGCTGGCGGGCGGATACGGCCCTGGAGCAGGCGGTTCATCAGGAGGGCGAGGCCCGCAAGTGGCTGGCAGAGCGCAGCAAGAGCGGCAGAGCGCAGCCGGCCAGTGATGGCGGTCAAGGCCAAGGCTGAGTGGCAGGAGGAGCTCCAGGCCGAGCTGCAGAAGGCCCGGGGCGTTGGGTCGGCTGAGGCTCGGTCGCGCTCGCCTTCGCATGTGCCGACGGGCTCCCAGATCAACGAGTCGCAGCTGAGCGGGGACGAGAGTGGGATCGATGCGGTCGAGATTGTTGATGGGGGATGCGCTGGGCCGTCGCGACTTGGAAATTGGCGAAGAGGATAAGCAGCGGTGGCTGGCACTCAAGGGCAGCATGGCGGTTGAGACCCAGAAGGCGGCGCTCGCTGCAATCGGGCCCACCGCGGGGGGCATCCAGAGACTCAGACAGGAGGCTTGGGAGGCGCGGGATCGCCCGGCGTCGAAGCGTCCGCGGCATGACGACAGCGGAGGATCAGGAGATGGCGCCGCAGGGTCCCGAGAAGAAGGCCCACAGGCGCCAGCGGCGGCCGCTGCTGCAGCGCCTGCTGCTCCCGTTGGCGCCCCTGCTGCTACTGCAGCTGCCCCTGGAAGTGCAGCGGGCCCAGCGGCCAGAGACCCACCTCGGCCTGGAGACCTGCAAGCAGCCGCTGATGCAGCCAGAACCAAGCTTGCAGAAGAGGGCCAGCAGCATCCTTAGTCCGCCATGGGCTGGGCAGAAGCTCATGGGGCTGTCGCCGCCAGAATGCGACATATGTGCGAGGAGTACCTCAGGAGTACCTCCGGAGTTTCTTGAATGAGCCCACCAGCGTAGGGTTGAAGCGGGCGCTGCTGCGGCGATATCGCAGGGGTCCGCGATCGGCTGACGGCAGGGAGAATCCAGGAGAGTTTGAGCAAGTGGTGACGGAGATCTGTCAGGTGGCGTGGAGTGAGTCCAGGTCGAACAGGCAGGCCTTTCGCGGCATGATGGGCACGCTCGCGGCACGGGCCTGGTTGGCCTTTGCTGATCACCACTGGAGTGAGCTCAGGAGGCTGCTGGCCGTTTTCAGAGGGCAGCTGGATCGGAGACGACAGAGCTTTTTTTCCGGTGCTGGTGGCCCCTGGGGAGCCCTTGGCAGGGCAGATCCTAGAGGGAGGCAGCGGAGCTTGGATCGAGGCCGCAGACGCGCGGGCGGTCGACGCCCTCGATCAGCTCCAGCCTCCGCCCGGGGCTGCAGACGCGCAGGTGGTCGATGCCCCGGGGTGGAGCGGCTCTCCCCCCACGGCGCCAAGCCAGGACACAGGGCCTGGAGAGGCCCTGCGGGGGCCCAGTGGAGGGCAGACCTCGAACGAGAGCAGCTGTCCTTTGAACGAGGCCGCAGTCGTGCGGGTGGACGGCGCCCTCGCTCAGGACCAGCCGCTGCCCTGGGCCGCCGACGGGCGGGTGGTCGATGCCCCGGGGTGGCGCGGCTCTTTAGCGGGCGTTTCAGGGCGCGCTGGCAGCGTCCTTTGGGGGCCCGTGGCTGGGCAGACCCTGAAGGGGGGGGGGTGCGAGCCCGGGGGTGAGGCCGCAGACGCGCGGGTGGTCGTAGCCCTCGGCCGAGCTCAGCCTCGCCGCAGGGCAACGGGCGCGCGGGCGGTCGATGCTCCTGCGGCGAGTGTCCCCTCCCAGCTGGCCTGCTGGAGACCGACGGCAGCTGGCAATGGGGTCGCGCGGGTTAGCTACAAACCCAACGCGTGGAGCATGGCACAGCAGCATTTTGCGTGGGCCCAAGGGGCGAAAGACCAAGTTTTTGATGTCTTCCTGAACCAGGGACACTTATTGCTTCCTAGCCAGATCGGGCAAACTCGAACATGGGCCTACCAACGGGGCTTTTCGGTTCAGTTATCGGCTCAGTTTCCGGCAGCGGTGCGTACGGGCACTGGTGACAAGAAGACGTCGGGTGACACGGCAGGCTTGGTCAGTGCGCATATTGTCAGTCATCATTTCGCGCGCGTGCATGAGTCGGAAAGGGTGTTGGCGGTCAAAGCCATGATGCATCCCCAGCTCCCTCTTTTGGTGGTCTCGGTCTATGGTCGCACGACGTGGGGCTTGAAAGGGGCCAACCTGGTCTTGCTTGAGCACCTCAGTGAGCTAGTGTCCTCGGCAGGCTGCCCGTTCATCATCGGCGGCGACTGGAACATGGAGGTGGATGACCTCCGTGCGTCGCAGGGGCCTTACCATCTAGGCGCTTCCATTCCCAGGCCGCCAGGCGCGACTTGCCATAGCAGCTGCTGTGACCTCTTCATTGCGAGTCGTTGCTTTGGCCACCACGTGGAGGACTGTTGGGCCCAGCTTGACACTTCAGCGGGGTCGCGCTCTGCAGTTGTGCTCCAACTTGGGCAGGTCGCTGGTCAGGCGCAGGTATGGCAGAGAGCGGTGCCTGCCTCGTTTCCTCTTCCTCGCAATGAAGCGGTGAAGCAGAGAACGCGGTGCTCTGGCCCCTGGGATGAGCAACAGTTGCAGGTGAGCGAGCTAGGCCCCCAGGATGCGATGGCAGCGTGGTTTGACGCAGCCGAGCGCGATCTTGGCAAAGGTCCACGCCATTTCTCCTTCGAAGCATTTTCAGGCGACGGAGCCGCTGCAGGACTTTTTCTCGACAGCCGCGCCCCAGGAGCTGCGGGGGCATGCGGTCTCTGCCTTTTTTGGTTGTGCGGCGCTGGGCCAGTCACAGCGCGGCGGTCTTGCGGGCGTCTTGCAGGCTGAAGTGAGTGGATCGAAGGATCCAGCAGGAAATTGCCGAAGGCTGTAAAACATTGAAGGGGTGGACCCAAGCGTCTGTAGGACAAGGGGGTCGCGTGGCCCACAGGCACTCCAATGGCCCTGCTCCTCCGCCAGCGCCGGAGTTTGACGTGTCCCTGCGCGCGGTAGGAGGAGAAGAGGTCATCACCAGAGAGCTTGCTCGATCATTGAATTCAGCGGCAGGCGACCTGCAGGCCGTAGACCTACCTGTCGCCACCAACAAGCTCGGGCTGCTTTCTTCTTCGCCGCACCTCGCCCAAAATCCGTTAGTTAGCTGACTGCTTCCACAGTCGGCGCTCTGCCGGGACCATAGGGATCTTGGAGGGGATGCCGCTGATGGAGGCCGCCGTAGGGTGACGACACAACATGAACTTTATTGTGAGGCGCACCATCGGCCCCTGGTTTCTGATCCTTTGGCATGGGCCAAGGTTAAGGA